ATTGTTTTGTCTTTTTTGAAGCGGTTGAGAAACTTTCACCGCTCCTTTGGCACTGTTTGCACCAGTGGTGTCTATCGCCTCTGGAGAGGCGCCAGACGGACGGGTACGTAGAGTGGGCTTCGTCAATGCGCACAAAACCTTCGATCCTACTGGGCAAGAGATAGATGGGACCTCTTTCACTTGTTTACTGCCCTGGTTGTTGCCAGTATTCTCAAGTTCCTTCGGTGGGGCTGTGTTCAGGAAGGGCAGGGCAGGCAAGGCTGCTCCCACCGTGGGGGCTTGTGGCGATTGCCTCGGCACCCTAGGCGTCGTTCAAGGCATTGCCGAAAACTGCAGTTGTGCTGACCCCCCTCGCACCACTTCGGCATAGGATGTGTTCCCTGCAAAATTCGGGGAGAGGCGCTGCCTTGTTTCACGAAAGCTGATGTTGAGTTTCTACTTAGTGGTAATTGTTTCTTTTTCCCTCTTCCAAACTGCGCAGGACCTGGGATATGCCGGGTGGTCTCTATCACAGTTGGGGCAGTGAGGTTCGGAATCACATTTATCATCATTAGAGTGTCTGTCCTTTGGTGCCCCATTTCGCACACGAAAGTTACCTTCAACAGCTCTGAGAGCCGTGGCCAAACCGCTGGCATATAAAGCAGTGCCATGAATTGGGACTGTAATACTGACTGCTAATTTGAGGCAGCCCGGTACTATTTCCGTTGGGAGTGTTGTAGATGCAAAAGTAACTATTATGTGCTTTTTGGGAATTTCTTTGTTTTCTCTTTTTATAGGTATGCGCTGCACTTGGATTACATTCTCTTCTTTTCAGCCTGTCAGCAGCTCTTCATCAGACAGGTTCATTAAGTCATCATTTGACATGACACCTTTCACAGTGTTGAGTGTTCGGTGCGATGCGATGGTGATGGACTGATCATCCAAAGCTGTCCGGTTTTTTAGCCTCTGGAATTGTGGACGGTCTTTGACTTCGAGCAAGAGGTCACCACTTGCCGTTTTGGTGGCCTTGTAGCCCGAGTCAATGGTTTCCATAAGACATTTTGATACAAGACAAGGTGATAAGCTTTTGGCTTTCTTTTCTGTACCATACCTGACAAGTTCAAGGATTCTGAATCCGGATGATTTTCGCAACGAGGGGGGGGGGGGGGGGGAGCACAAAAAAACAAGGACACTACAAACAAACAAAAACATCACGAAAAACGAAAGGGGGTGGGAGGGTGGTCTCAATCACAAGCGCCAACATCAGCGTTGCGGTCTATAGTGGCTAGGAGTGGCCGAACACACGAGGGTAGAGTTTTTCACTAAGGTGAGAGTTTCAAAGAATCAATACAACTAGCAGAATCTATTTCAGTTAAAACAATTAGCATATGCCTTCCTGGGACACACGTGAAGGGACGGGACGATGCAGCTGGCTGCCGCAAAAGCGCGGGTCCAAGCTTTGCTCACTACTAGATTCTTGTGACAGGAACGCCAAAACGCGTCTGTCCCCTTTTTATTGCGGCAGCAATCATATGGACAGTCCAGGCTGTTTTTTTTTTGCCGCCACCACCGCCGCCGTCCTTCACCGTATATGTATACATATCTATATATATATGAACACTAAAAGAAAAAAAATTGGCCCGAATCTACATGTTACACTGTAAATGTCGTCGAAAGACGATAGTCTAGCGTATGGAGAGAGTGAACAAAAAGTTTATTTGATGTTTTGCGCAAGAAAATTGGTGATTGGTATTCTGAAGTTTGAAGTTTATTTTATTTCTTTCTGATACAGAAAGAGGAGTAAGGCGCTGCGTTGCTTCAAGCGTGTAACGATGAAGAACAAGCGCATCTAGGCACGTTAGACACGAGCGCAATCTGGCAGTTATCTTCGCGCGATCGTGGAGAACGATGCGCACCAGTCACGAAGGTGATAGGGTGTGGAATCCAAAGCGACGAGCAGGTGCCACCACCGTGCCGTCGTAGCAAAGTGTTGGAAACACCTTCTTGAGCACCGCGTTGCATTGTCAACGCAGCGCGTTAAACACTACAGTCCATAGAGTTACTTGTCTGTGCCTCTTCTAGCATAAAGGCAGACATATAAAACATAGACATCTTGTTATGGCGTCTCAGATATGCGCAATACTTGTTTTTTTAATTGACAATCGCACAACTATGAACGCTAAACCTCGAGCAATATTGGTGGGCGCTGCAGATGCGGTTGGCCGTTTGAGGTGTTAGGGCAGACAGACAGACAGATGTACCGACAGACAAACATTTTTCTGTCGAAGTTCCTTAGGAAAGACTACCGTCTTTAAAAAAAGCCGCCCCCGCTTGCCGCCGAGCTGGTCGCGATGCATCGACACGTGCATATCTCTCACGTGTACTTTGCACCATGAATGGATGCCTGTGGGCGAGCACTTATCCTTTGGTGAAGAAACCGTGTGGCACCGACTTTCACTGAAACGAAAGCGTTAGTTGCCGGCCCACAAAGGTCGCTTTGGTCTCTGAACAGGTCGCTTTGGTCTCTGAACAGGCCCCTTTTGCGAAAACAGCGCGCTTTTCATACACAGCGAGGTATAACAACTGGGACACTTGTTAGTTTGTATGCATCTCTACCTGTGATTACGTATCGTGCACTGTTTTTGTTTAAACAGTGCATTACGTGTCGAGCGGTAAATGTTGTTAGTTCACTCTCGTCTAGCGAGTATCGTTTTCGTGCGTCATATGTATGTGAGCAGCACGATGCACGTTTCGATCTGCTTGCCGTTTTCAGCGTTACATTCCAAGTTGTTCCTGCCGCATTTATTACTTCACCCTTGCAGTGAAACTAACTTTTTTTATTTTTTACGCATTTACTGTTTTTAACCTACCGCTGCAAGCTCTCGGAGCTCGTACATCGCTATCACGTCGCCGCGACCGCCCTTGTGCGCGCGGCGGTTGGGGCAAACGGTAGTTCATTTTACAATCCCCATGTGCTTGGCTGCGCACGCGCCTTCAAAACTAAGTCGTTTTATGCCATCTACAATAGTATCTGCCACATTTTTGTCCACAGTTTGCATAAAGCAGCATTGCTTTGATTGGTTGAGCGCACACTTGCGGGGTTCAGTCAGTTACGTCGCCGCCATACATGATCGTGTCAAGAGCGACCGCGGTTTCGCTCACAGCGGTTGTGGCAACGACAATCACACGCACTGTAGAAGACAATGCATGCGCCGCCCGCATGCATACTTTCGAAGCTTCAAGTACGCTGCTATCTGCCTTCGTTCGACGGTTTCCATACTAAAGTTTGTATCACCCGTCGCAATTAGAAAATGTATTCGGAACATTCGAATTGAAGCCCAATAGACATAGTGGAACTTGACTGGGCAATGTCAAGAATTCGTATCTGCCGCGGTTTCACATCACTGAGATTATACTGTGAGTTTACATGAAGTGGGGTAGGTTGGAAAAGCCTGGAGCGGATTGAGCTGCTTTTTTGTCAATGCATCCAGATCACGCACAGAAATTTCTATTTCTGGGAGATTTTCATGACAACTCGAAAAAACGGTCGAAATCCAGGAGTCTCTCGGCCAATCTGAGAGACTTGGCAGGTATGCTGTACTCTCGTAGTGAATAATGTAAAATTTGGGGAAGTTGTCTCTCTTAGTAGGAAGAAGTTCAAAAATAACATCAGTGCCCAACCTCTTGGAGGGGCAATCGTTTTGGGGGCTTTAGGGTATCCCATGAAATTTGCTGCTTTTTTCAGCAGCCATGCTAGCCCTCATCTCCGTGTCTACCAAGAGGACGCTACGAGACAAGCAGGAAACATAAGCGCCTGCTGTACATGGCTGCTATAACCTAATATGTCTACCCAAGGTTGGATATTTACACCAGGTTAACCCTTGCCACCAAGAAATGTGGTAGTAAAATAAGTGAGGAGAGGACAGGAAAGATTAAAAGTCAGAGAGAAAGACAAAGATGAGGGGAGAGAGAGAGATAGGAAAAGGCGACTGCCGATTTCCCCTAGGTGGGTCAGCTCAGGGGTGCCGTCTACATGAAGCAGGGGTCAAATGGGTGTGCTGCCTCTGCCTTAAAGGTCCAATCACCCGGCGTCGGCTCAACCCCCAGGATTTCTTTCTTCCCAGGATTCCCTTTTCCCACGGCAAAGCCACGCACGGCTAAGCGTGGGAGAGGTCAAAACCCCCCGTTAGCTCGGGTTCGTAATGTCGCTGCACACCAAATGCTTGCTCGCGCAGACGCCTCTGCGGGGGAAGCTGACCATTTTGATGAAACCGAAAACACGATGTTTAAGCCAAGTTTTGAGGCACAGACCGTAATGAATGTCGCACCTTATGGTTAAATTCAGGTGTTACAGTGCAGTACGGTGCTCATAAATGAGTTTGGTGCAGGATGGTGGATATAAATAAATTTGGCACAGAATGTCGCATATGGAGCAGCTGTTCCACCTCTGCAAACTTTGCAGCTGCTGCTCGAGCTACCACAGCCTTGACAAAACTGAAACTATAACAGTTTTGATAGAAGTGAAAACACTATGTTTCAGCCACGTTTTTGGACACGGGGCTTGATGGCCCCTGTTGCACTTTACAGGTAAATTCAGCTGTTGTGCAGTACGAGGATGAACGAGTTTGGCACAACAGAGGTGGTTCCGCGCAGGTAAACATGCTTGGTGCACAATGGCGCAGCAGTTGCTCCCTTGTCTGTAGTAAAAAACCTACCAATAATTACGACCATTTTTGTTAATGTTGTCTCACTACAAACTTCAATTGCGATTTGTAAAACGACCCTTGGGTAATAGTCACCATTTACATATGGGCACAATGATACACAATTTGTCCTTTCAATTCAATGCCATCACTAGAAACCTGCTATGATAAGACTTCGTACAGAAAACCAGACAAGCATTCTTGTATAGCTTGCGATATGAAAAGTTTGTCTTGACAGGAGTTTGCTATGCCGAGATTTGGTATTTCACTCTGATGCTAATGTCTTGCCTTGATCTCAAGTGAATACTGTATGCCTACCCTTGCTGTGGAGCAAACTGTTGTGGTGGCATCTGCTGTTGGTAGACACCCTGCTGTTGCTGCTGCCCCATCTGTGGCATCTGCATCTGAGGGATGTTCTGTGGAACATGCATCTGCTGGTGCTGCTGCATCTGGCCGCTGCAACCCAGCACCAGAACCACGAAGAGAGTCCAACACCTCGGCATGCTCTGAAACACAGCAAGGATTTCAATCATTCCGTACACAAAGCACTTGTACTGTTAGAAGTCAGCACAGAAATTATTTTCCCTGCCACCCCCCCCCCCCCCTACTGCGTCATTGCAAAAGTTGTGCTAGAACTCAAATGGAGTGGCCAGAGCATGGCACTGTTGCCACAGAGCGCCTAATTCCCACTGAACAAAGCAACCGAAGCAAATGGGGAGCTGTTTCAAAACCGAGACAAAATGTCTAAAAATAAAGCTGGATGCACCTGCAATTGTCACAATGCCGAAACAGCAGCAGTCGAATCCAGGGAACTCACTTTAATTGTATTAGAATACTGGTAAACTGATCAGAAGAGAACCTCGTCTTCTTCACTCGCTGCGCGTGTTCTTCGTTGTTCTCTTCGTGCTGCATATTCAATGTGTCATTTGCCCCCCTCTAGAGAGCAGCGTCCCGATGCTCTTCTACAAAAGACGGTGTAGTAGATGTATGATGTAAATCAGTCCGAAAAGTAGGGCTTCATTCGCACAACGTGCACGATTTCTGGTTTTTGCTGGCGAGTTGTCGAGGGGTTGTCAGGAACGACCACGTAATTAACGTCGCTCAGGCGTTGTAAAACTGTGTAGGGGCCAAAATACTTCTTCAGCAATTTTTTAGACAGTCCCCGGCGGCGGATAGGACTCCATACCCAGACTTTGTCGCCGGCCCGATAGACGACATGTCGGTGTCGCAGATTATAAAGTTGGGCGTCATAATTTTGCTGCTGGGTGATTCGGGTGCGCGCAAGCTGCCTCGCTTCTTCTGCTCGTTGGATAAAAGATGCAGCGTCCAAATCGATATCATTGCAGTCGTGCAGTAACATGGCGTCAAGCATCGTCATCACTTCACGGCCATGAAGGAGACTGAACGGCGTTCTTCGTGTAGTTTCTTGCTGCGCTGTATTATAGGCGAACGTGATGTACGGTAGAATGTCGTCCCAGTTCTTGTGATCCACGTCAACGTACATACTCAACATGTCGGCAATAGTCTTGTTGAGGCGTTCTGTTAAGCCGTTGGTTTGTGGATGATAGGAAGTGGTTTTCCGATGGGCGGTTCCACTGAGCTCAAGCACTGTCTTCAGGAGCGCGGCCGTGAAAGCGGCACCTCGATCCGTTATTATGATTGTTGGAGCACCGTGCCTCAGGACGATATTTTCTACAAAGAATCGTGCGGTTTCAACGGCGGTGCCACTTGACAAAGCCTTTGTTTCGGTGTAGCGCGTAAGATAATCAGTGGCGACTATTACCCACTTGTTGCCAGCATGGGAAGTCGGATATGGTCCAAGGAGATCCATTCCAATTTGGGCAAAAGGTACCGTGGGCACTTGAATTGGTTGTAATAGCCCAGCTGGTTTTAACGGTGGCGATTTTCGTCGTTGGCAATCGAGGCACGTGCGCACGGAATGCTTCACAATAGCTGGAAGTCTTGGCCAGTAGTATTTCTGTTGGACTCTGGCCAATGTGCGTGTGTATCCGAGATGACCAGACGTTGGCCTCATCGTGGCAAGCACAAAGTATCTCCTCACGAAGTGACGTCGGAACGACAAGTAGGTGGGTGGTTCCTCTGGGAAAAAAGTTCTTCTTATAGAGAACACCACTGCGTAAGCAGAATGACGGCAGGCTCCTTGCAAATCTTCTAGGGACGGTTGTTGTCCGGCCATTCAAAAATTCAATAAGAGGAAGCAACTCACTGTCTTCTTTCTGCTTGCACGAAATCGTAGTGGTGTAAACGACTCCTACAAACGCCATGCTGTCATCTTCTGTGTCATCGTCGCGCTTTATCGGTGACCTTGATAAGCAATCGGCGTCGGCGTGCTGCCGTCCGGACTTATACACGACCGTCATATCAAACTCTTGGAGGCGTAAGCTCCACCGTGCGAGCCGACCAGACGGGTCTTTCAAGTTGGTCAGCCAGCAGAGGGAATGATGGTCACTGACTACGTGGAAGGAACGACCATAGAGGTACGGACGAAACTTCATAACCGCCCATACGACAGCAAGACACTCTTTTTCCGTTGTGGAGTAGTTGGACTCGGCGCGGGAAAGCGTCCTACTAGCATATGCGATCACACGCTCGGCTGAGTCTTGCCACTCGACGAGTACAGCGCCTAAACCCACGTTGCTGGCATCTGTATGGACCATGGTAGGAGCATCCTCATCAAAGTGAGCAAGCACAGGCGGAGTCTGCAGGCGTTGTCGGAGATCGTCAAATGCCACCTGTTGATCGTCGCCCCATGTGAACGAAACGTCTTCTCTTGTGAGTCGTGTTAACGGCGAGGCTATGTGGGAGAAATTGGCAATAAACCTTCGGTAGTATGCGCATAGGCCAAGGAAACGCCTGACTGCTTTCTTGTATTTTGGTACCGGAAATTTTCTGATGGCCGCAATCTTATCGGGATCAGGTCGAACACCTTCATGGCTCACCACATGGCCTAAAAATTGAAGCTCCTTGAAACCGAAATGACACTTCTCGGGTTTCAGTGTCAGGCCGGCAGACCTTATTGCCCCGAATACCGATAGCAGCCTGCTCAGGTGTTCCTCAAATGTTTTTGAAAAAACAATGACGTCGTCCAGATAGACCAGACATGTCTGCCATTTAAGGCCTGACAGAACGGTATCCATCAGTCTCTGAAATGTTGCGGGGGCTGAGCACAATCCGAATGGCAAGACTTTAAATTCATAAAGCCCGTCAGGCGTTACAAAAGCCGTTTTTTCTCTATCTCGCTCGTCGACCTCAATTTGCCAATACCCACTTTTGAGGTCCATTGACGAAAAGTAGCGTGCATACCTCAGCCTGTCGAGTGAATCATCGATGCGCGGTAATGGGTACACGTCTTTCTTTGTCACACGGTTCAGCTTGCGGTAGTCGACACAAAATCGCAAGCTTCCGTCTTTCTTTTTAACCAGCACTACCGGTGATGCCCAAGGACTTCTTGACGGCTGGATGACGTCATCATCGAGCATTTTCTTCACTTGTTCCTGGAGTGCTTCACGCTCTTTCGGTGCTACGCGGTATGGGTTCTGTCGTATTGGCCTTGCCGTCTCCTCTGTTATTATCCGATGCTTCGTCAGTGGCGTTTGACTGACCCTCGAGGTCGATGAAAAACAGTCTTTGAACTGGTGAAGAAGATCTACTAGACGCTGTCTCTGCGCTGGTGACAAATCCGAGCTTACGTCAATAGGTGGTGGGGCTGACATGGCTTGCGGCTCGTCCTGTTGTACTACACAACACTCGCGGATTTCAGTGATCTCGTCGAAGTAGGCAACTGTAGTGCCTTGTGTAATGTGTCGTCGCTCGTTGGTGAAATTCGTTAACAGAACCTCTGCTTCACCGCACACAACGTTGACGATACTTCTGGCAATTGCAACACCGCGAGAGAGTAGGAGCGTCAATACTTGTTCAGCGATTCCTTCTCCAGTATTCTGCTCGCTGCACGTGACTGAAACAAGGCGGCACGATAACGGAGGTGCGGTCACAGCGTCAATGACTCGCAGGAATTTTCGGTGTAGCGCTGCGCTCTGATTCGCTGAAAAAGTCAGTACACCGTCCGGAATATTGATGATGGCACCATATTCACGCAAGAAATCCATCCCCAAGATTGCCTGTTTGCAACACTCAGAAAGGATAACAAAAGTTGCGACGAAGGATGCATCCCCTATCTTCATTCTTGTGGTGCACTTTCCGGTAGGTGTGAGTAGCTGCCCTCCAGCTCCTCTAATCTGCGGTCCTGTCCATTCCATTCTAACCTTCCTGAGCGTGTCTGCCAGACTCTCACTCATTATTGAGAAGTCCGCGCCAGTGTCGACCAATGCCATGACGTCATGTCCGTCAATCGTAATTGCAACTTCGGCAGTAACAACCCCATCTTTCGTCGATTCATTGAAAATGTGTCTCTCTTCACTCGGCAGTAATGGGGGATTTTCAGCACTTCGACGATTCGCAACCTTCCCCCCTGAGGTCGCTGCTTTTAGTTTCCCCGGCGTGGACTAGGAGATCTCCCTCTTGGCATGTCAGTGGTGCTCCGTCTAGAGGATGGAGAATAACGCCCAGGAGAGGGTGAGCGTGACCGAAACCCAGGAGGAACATCCCGCGGGGTCATGACACTCGTGTCGACGTCAGATGTTCCGTTGAAATGGTGCCGAGGAACCGTAGAAGGGAACCCTTGGTACCCTGCGGCGCGATACGGGCAATACCGAACTGATGTGGCCTGCTTCCCCACAGTGAAAGCACAGGGGCCTATGATCAGGGGTACGCCAGATGTCAGTTTTGCGAAGTGGTGGCCGCCTCGGCATCGAAGTTTCTCTGTAGTACCAAGGCGCTGTCGGCGGATGTTGATGGTGGTACTGATGTGGTGTCGGCACGTTCGCTGGCTGTCGGCGGACTACGTCTGCATAGCTTACCCTGGGAGTGCTCGTGTTCGGCTCAGGAAGTGAGATCGCTTGCCTGATCTCCTGGCGTACAACTTCCGTTACTGAGGCGATCGCACAGTCATTTGGTTTGGCTACGAGTTTCTTGACGACTGAAAATAGCGCTAAGAAATGGGGACACAAGAAGAGGACACACGGCACAGGCGCTAACTTCCAACATAATGTTTATTACCACCGCCCGCTCGCCTATATCACCAAAAAAATATATCACATGACATGAATGATGCGCACAAAAAATTAAAGTCTTAGAAAATACAATTCTTTATCACTAAGCGTAAGAGAGGGAGTGCTGACGCACTTAGACCCCAGTGAAGCGATAGCCTCAGCCTCAATAATCTCTCTAGTAAGCTTATCAAACATTCTCTTGATAACTGTGCATGCATTGAATATCGGCGCGCAGCCGCAGGATTTACAATGTATGGCCAACCAACTCCCCTGGCCGTTTTTCACATTATTACAATGTTCTCTTAATCGATCATTAAGGCAACGGCCCGTCTGTCCAATATACCCTTTACCACAAGAAAGCGGCATACGATAAACAA